CTCCTCCTCCTCTCTCCCTCCCCCCCCCCCCCCCCCCCCCCCCTCCCTCCCTCTCTCCCTCTTTCCTGTGCGTGGTGGTGGTTGGTCGTAGTGGTGGCAGTGGTGGCCGCTTTTTCGCTGCGGGCAGAGGCAATGCTGTGGTTGGTCGTCACTCACTGTCCTGGCTGGCATGGGTATGGGTATGGGTATGGGTATGGGTATGGGTATGGGTATGGGTATGGATATGGGTATGGGTATGGGTATGGGTATGGCGGACGATGCGATGGGCGTGGACGGCACGATGGTGATGATGATGGTGTCCGGGCGGGACGACGCGATCCGGCTTTGACCAACTCGACATCCACAGGAGGCAACACACTTTATGCAACACGGCAAGCGGAGCAAGCTGACGACGGCAGACATCAACAACGCGCTGCGGCTGCGCAACGTAGAGGTGCTGTACGGTCACGAGGGCCGCGAGACAGCCCGCGAGTACCTGACAGTTGACGAGGTGCTGAAGCGCGGCGAGACGGCCGAGGATGACGGCGAGGTTGTGGGTGAGACGAGCGAGGAGCGCAAGGCCAAGTCCAAGGCGTCACGGACCAAGTCGCGGCGGAGCAAGGCTGCTGCTGCGGCGGCAGCCGAGCTGGACAACGAGACCATCTACGTGCCGTACGACGAGGTGGTCGGCTTTGCGGACATCATCCACGCGCCGCTACCCAAGGCGCCGCTGGAGCCGTCGTTCGCGGCGCACTGGCTGGCGGTCGAGGGCGTGCAGCCTGCGGTGCCGGCAAACCTGCCGCCGCTTGTGCTGGCGTCGCTACTGGCGGGCGAGGGTCTTGCGCCCGACGTTGTCGGCGTCTCGTCGGATCAGATCAAGGCGCTCGGGGCCGGCTCGCTGGCGTCGACAAGCGCGCTTCCAGGCACTGCGTCGGGCATGGAGGACGCCCAGGTCCGGCCGTTTGTCCGGCACGTCCTCTCGCAGGAGCTGCAGATGTACTACAAGATGGCGACGTCCGGCGTGGTCGGCTTTGACGACGAGCTCAAGAACGCGGTCCTCGAGTCGATCCGCAGCGACCCGGGCCTCCACCAGCTTGTGCCGTACTTTGTGCACTTTGTGGCACACACGGTGGCGGTCTCGCTCCGCAACCTCCCGGTCCTCACCTCACTGATGCGGATGGCGCAGGCGCTGCTCGAGTCGGAGCACCTCCACATTGCGCCGTATCTGCATCAGCTCATGCCGCCGATCCTCACCTGCATGCTCGGCCGCCGCCTCTGCTCCGCGCCGTCCGAGAATCACTGGGAGCTCCGCCTCTTTGCGGCCCGCCTGGTCCGCTACGTCTGCTCGCTGTACGGCTCGGCCTACGCTTCGCTCCAGCCGCGCATCTGCAAGACCCTTGTCCGCGCCTTCCTCGACCCCTCGCGCCCGGTCACGACGCACTATGGCGCGGTCGCTGGCCTCGTCGCCCTCGGCCCGCGCGTCGTCCAGTTTGCCGTCCTCCCCAACCTCGAGGCGTACATGGCATGGCTCGCTCCGGCGCTCGCCGCCGGCGACGCCGAGCCCGACCGCGCTGCCGAAGCCTCCCACATGCGCACCCTACTCCTCACTGCCGTCAAGCGTGTCCTCGAGGCCTCGGCCCGCGCCGTTGTCGCCGGCAAGGTCGTCGCGGCGCCCGAGGGTAAGCCGCTCCCGCCGTCGGCAGACCTCCCAGGCGTCGCCGCCCTCGCCGGCCAGCTGGCCGACCTCATCCCGGACATGCAGGTTGATCTCCAGGCTTGTGTCGACCTCCTCGGTGCCGATGATCCCGCCTGGACCGCCTCTCCGTGACCCATAATGAATTGCTCTGCCGCGTCGAGCCGCTTCACCCCCTCCCACACTCACCCCCGTCCGACTCGTCCACTCACCCACAGCCAGCCCGCGACACACTCGCACTCCACCCCCCTCCCCCCCAAACACCACCACCACCACCACCACCACCACCACCACCACCCACCACTTACCCACCCACCCACCCACCCACCCATCATGGTACGCCCCCCCCTTCCCCCTCCCCTCCTCCCATCCCCCCCATCACCCGTCCACCCCCATGTCATGCCCCAACAAGGTAGATTCAACCACAGGA